GCTAGTTCTCCCGGAACAACTTTCCCACTGGAGTGGGAACTGACAGAGTCTTCCCGACTCCTTTTTGGGAGTCCAGCCTGAGGCCTGCAGACGCTGACTCTTGCTGTTCAGTGTCTGAGGGAAGTGGGGGTCTCCTGTTGTCCCCAGGCAGCTGCTCTTCCCTGTTAGCTCCTGGTGTACACAGTATCTTCTGTCTCTACCTCACCACTGCCCCTGTACCTTCAGAACTTCCGGGTCTCTCTTCCCTTTACTCCACAGGCAATAGTTTGTTAGCTGATTAGCACTTAGCAGCTATCGGGCCACAGCTGACCTGAGATCATAGGCTTGCCCAGCTATCCTGCCCTCTCAGGGCTGTTGGCACATTCACAGGAGATTCCCAGAAGCATCAGCTTTTCTCAAGCTTCAGTAACTTGCCAGGCACCATGCTGGATGATTTTACATATTATTTCTTATTTAATTCTCACAGAAATTTTGTAATCATCATTTATTCTCATTTTTTAGGTGGGGCTTGAGGCTCAGAGAGGTTAAGTAACTTGCCCAAGGTCACACAGGTATAATAGGAGCTGCGATTCAAGGCCATTCTGTCTGGGTCCAGGACCCCATTGGCTGTAGGGAGTGCTGTCTGTGGCCTGCCTCAACGGCTACAGATATGCCTACTTGTCTTCCCCGACCTCTGAAAAGCCAGTGCTGTTTGTTCAGCTTCTCCAACAGTAAGGCAGCAGCATCAACCCCATTTACAGCAATGTGTTTTATACCATTCTAGCCTTTTCTGTTGGGCCAAAGTCATGCAGATTGAAAAGACAAGGCGCAGGTAGTTTGGACTCTAGAGCTCCTGCTGTTAGCCTGGGCGAGGAGGGAAGTAGGGATGTGAGGAGAATGGGGGGCCACTACACTGCCAGAGAAGAAAGGAAGTCACTAGGAAGTGTGGACAATGAGGGCAGATAGGGCTTGGCCTGGGCGGCTCTGGGGTAGAGTCAGAGGCTACGTCAGTCCAAGAACAGTGACTAGCACTGAAGAAAGTTCTAAGCCCCAAGGAGGATGAGTGAAGAGGATCCTGGCCCCTGAGCATTGTGAGTGGGAGGATTTTTAAAAGATCAAAGAGACATCTCAGCAATCCATCCCCCCAGAGGCTTCATCAGGTGGGCCTGTGGTTCAAGGCCAGGCCCACCAGGTGGCAGCAGAGAACCATGCAGGGGCCAGCAAGGCGTAAATTGACTTAAGCTCTAACCCTAGGACTGAGACAGGGGAAAGTGGCAGCGCCCCATCCAAACTCAAGGCAAGTTTGAGCTGGGCCAAAGGGGTACTGAGTCAGGTGGCCTCGTAGTCACAGCTCACGCTATGTTGCTAAACTTATTCTGTGCTAGATACTGTGGCAAGCATGTGGTAAGTATTATCTCTTTTAATTTTCACAAGTAACCTGGGAACTAGATACTTTTTTATCAGTCCTACTTTTTTAGATGCAGGCAATGAGGCCCCAAGAGGTTTATGATTTGCCCAAAGTCACACAGATGGAGTGCAGGAAGTTTGGACTCTAGAGCTCCTGCCGTTGGCCTAGGGGTGGGCGGTGGAGTGAGGGTCACACTGTCAGCAGTTACTAGGAAGTATAGAGGGTGAGCACAGATAGGGCCTGGGCTGGCTCTGGGGTAGAGACTGAGGCCTAAGCCAGTCCAAGAACAGTGACTAGAAGCCTAGTCAGATGGAATTTCTGGGGGCACTTCCAGGAAACAGGATGTGGTTGGATTTTCAGGCTGAGGTTACCTGGGAGCTCTTATTTGAAGAAGCCTCCCCAGTCCATCCTGGGCACTGCACCCTGACATGACTGGGCACCTCAGAAGCTGCAAACCACTCAAACCCAAAGAGCAGAGGATCTGGAGAGTACGTCCCTGGACAAGTCTTAGGGTCCCTAGTGTGCTGGATCTAGTGCTGTAGCCCCGTCTGAGGGAGGGGATGATGCCAGCTCCCTTGCAGTCTCCATCCTGGAACAATGCCCAGGCATCCTCAAGGCCCCTAAATTAGCAGCCATCACCAGGAGACTTTAGCCACACCTGGGAACTTCTCCTTTCCCTGAGATCCAGGTCAGTACCTCCCTTCAATCTGGTCTTGCTGCCAATCATCCAGGGGCCCAGGTTAGTTGTAGAGTCCAGTTTAGCACAAACCTTTAGCTTCTTGGCTCAGAACTTTGTCCTCCTTTTAGACTAATACCCACCATGAGGCCTTTCAGGTGGTTTCTAGTCATAACCCCAAGGTTCAGGCTGAAGTTGCTCTCCCCAAATCCATGGACATCAAGGGCTTGTATCTTCATAACTTTTGAACAAAATCTCCTGAATCAGCCTCAGTTCTGGGAATTCAGACTTAGTCATGTTCTATGATTCTGCCTCAGGGCCTTTGCACTGGTTCTTCTCTCTGTCCGAAATGCTCTTCCTCTATCTTCATATGGCTGACTCCTTTTCTTCATTTAATCTGTTTACATTGCCATTCCTTTTCAGAAAGGATGTCTCTGTCTCGCCTAATAAGGCTTAACCCCTCCCCGTCCCTTGTTTTGTCTCTCCCTTGCCATTTCCAGTGATGATTATCCAGTATCCAGTAGGTTGGTAATGTCTTCACACAGGACAGTACCAAATGGAAACTAGAAAGCCACAGGATTAGGAAGGAGTGGGGCCCTGAGAAGTTATGGGGAAGGGGAACTTAGTGGCCATTTAACCTAAGTCCTCAGTGGATAAGAACGCTCACATTCCTTAATTCTGTTTTTTTGTCCACCCCCCGCGCCCCTCCCCATCCACAATGGACGCAGAGAGCTGGTGAGCAAAGGCAACTGTTCTGTGCCACTGAAATGCTTCTGGGCTATACACATTTGACAATCAGGGTAGATTATAGTGTCAGGTCAAATCAGTCCTGGTTCAGTTAGAACCATCAAAGAGAAAATTTGATCTGCCCCTTGCAAAGCACAAAACCCACTCTCCTCAGCAGATAGTTATCTCTGAGGATGTCACAAAGAAATCGGGGATCTTCTATTTCCTCTTCTTGATCAGGAGGGGGTGAGCCTAGATGATCTCCAGATCTGACCCTTCAACCCTGAGGTGGGGATGAGGAAAGGTGTAAGGTGCCCAGTTATTTCTGAATTTCAGATAAGCAACAAATATTTTTTTTTAGTAAAAATATGTCCCATGCAATAAGTGGGACATACTTATACTAAAAAATATTGCATGGCACACAGTTATACTAAAAAAATTATTCATTGTTTTTCTGAAATTCAAACATAACTGGATATCCTTTACTTTATCTGGCAACCCAATGGAGGAGGGACCAACATTTAAAATAAATGGCTTTCCTAGGATGAAATACTGGATTGGAGAAAACCGGCCATACTTTTTCAGGGGACTTTTTGAGGGGAAGAATGAAGTTGGTTTCTTTCATGCCAATTAAGCAATCACAGATGATCCCACCAGAAACCAAACTCGTGACTAACATGGGACTCAGGACCAATGGGGGAAAAAAAAAAAAAAGATTAAGAGCCAGGGAAGCAATCTTCACACACAGGGCCAGCTGCAGACGGAGGACGATCTCACCCAGCAAGGTAAGAGCACTGCCTTCTCACGCTTATTCTTTCAGAACAGGGTTTGGGAGATTCTGGTGACTCCTTCGCCCTCTCTCATTGCCTCCCTCATACTTGGCTGTCAGCAGAATTTCTCCTCAATGTCTGTAATTCTCCAGCTTCTGAAGGCTCACAAAGTCTCCTAGATCCTCTCTCTACACTGCCAAGAAGCAGAGCAGAGAACCAGGAAAAGTGATGGCTCAGGCTGTGAGCCACTTGTGATCAGCACCATTCTCCTGTTGCTTGAAGGACCGCTTCTCTTGGTTTGGGTGGGGTGAGGGGCATTTGCTGTCCCTACGCTGTTTGCCAAAGCTCTGAGCCAGAGGTATAGACTTACAAAAACAATTTAACACAGAATTAATTGAGTTTTGTGTCTGTAATTTTGAACATGGGCTTCACCCCTATGTTATTCACCTGAGCTGATCAGTGAGTTCAAATTTAATTTCTTTTTTTGCTACTGGCAAGGGGAAATTACACATGAAATTGCCCCAATAGAAAGGGTTCATGTAAATTCCCCACTCTGCTCCCCCACTTTTCTCCTGCTGTTTTAAACAGGCTCATTTATACAACTCTATGGGGATCAGGCCTTTGAAATTCATGAGAATAAGAGGGAAGAAAAGTACATAATAGCAAGGAGAGAAGGGAAACCACTGTTGGTTTTTAATAAGCACTCTTTAATATGACCACTGCAGTCCATGAGTTTTTGTTCATCTATTTGTATTATAGTTTAATATAGTTTAATAATATAAACATAAATAGATATTTTTAAAACCTCAGTCATGAGACTTGGACAAGGGAAATTGCAGAAATTGGTTTCAGTTGGAAGGACAAAGAATTGTTAGCAAAGTCAGGGCGTGGACGTCCTCAGCTTGTTTCAGGTGGGGTGAGCGTGGACCAAACCAGGCACCTGTATGGGACAGTTTCCTTTGTTGGAAAGTGTTGGGGACGCTGTGCTCAGCCACACACACATGGTGTCCAAGGATTGCTATCTAAAACCTCTGGAGAGAAATATTCCTTTTCTTTTATTAACCACAGTCTTGGATCAGGGAAAATAAAGACTGCGAAAAATGCTTTTTGTTTGTTTGTTTTTCTACAGTTTATGTTATGGAGTCAAATCAAAGGGAAATGAAGAGTATTTTTCACTCAAATAATAACTCAGTTTGCAAGTTTTTGCTTTTGTTTGTAGTTTCTTCTTTGAACTTAATTTTTCAGTTGGCGAAAGGAATTAGAAACCTGAGCAATTTCCGCCGATAGCAATGAAAGAAGAAAACCCAGAGTTTCCAGCCATTGTTAATGGTCACCTAGAGGGAATGTCTTTGTGGGTCTTTATGAGATGATGAGCAAGGACTCTCTGGATGCATTAAATGATACCTGTGTACCTCTGCTGTTAGGTATCCTGTCACCTGATCCTACAAGATGCCAAGTGAAGAGGCCAACTTTGTCTATAGGTACCCCAAGAGAGGGCACAGCCACTCCTACCTCACAGCTGAAGAGTAAGTTCCGACTGGCCCCGGTGTGGTTGCTGCTTGTTGACAGCCCCGGTGTGGTTGCTGCTTGTTGACAGCTGACTCTCACCAGCACACACTGTTCGTAAATCTCTCTAGTGTTCATTTCTCCAGAGGGTAAAAACTATGACAATGAGGCAAGAAGACCTTGTGGTTCCACAAGGAGCTCACAAAAGCTTCTCTGAGGCTGAATAGACAAGGAGATAGGAATGATTACAACTTGGATCTGGCCATTTTTGCCTGCATTCTTGGCTGTTAGGGCTTTGCTGTAAGTTCCCAGGCTGAAAAACATGTCTGGGAGCAAATTATCTCTTTCCTTAAGCCATGTTCTGTCTACTCTCAGGCTCCTGGAGGTGGTCTGCAGACAGAACAAAGGTCAGTTGCCAAAGAGCGAGTGAGCATGAAGGCCAGGTGTGTGAGGCTCCACCTGCAGATTGACTCCAGGGTGAAGATGGTGCTCAGAACCTTTGCATCATAACCTTATTCTAAGGAAAGGCATTTGGTGTTATGAATCAATTAAAAATAAGTATTTATATGGTTAAGAATTTCTAAATGCTAAGCATTGTATGACCTGCCCAAGATGCTATTCTTGTCTTTGGAAAAAAAAAAAAAAATCTCATAATCTAGTGGGAGAGTTAGGCGTGCGAATAATTTTGGCAAGAGTAAGTGCCGTAATGGGAACACGGGCCACAGGGACATGCTCTGCAGGTACTAGAGTGGGCACGGGAGGGGGGCGGGCTCCAGCCTCTGAGTGGGGACTCCAACAGACAAACAAGGAACGCGGTTTTCATTTGGACCATCTCTTGAGTGGTCTGTTGAAATCTTCCTGCAAGCCTACTCTCTCTTAGGAAAAAAAGGTTGAAAATCTTTACCAGACTGGACTAGCAGGGTGAAGCAAGCGGCAGAACCCATCAGAGGCACTGAGGAAGCATTCAGACTGGGAGTATTTCCTCAGAAGGTCCCGTGGGATTCTCTAAAGTCCCTGCATGGTCATTTGGGGGTGGAGGTGGGCAGATCTTCTGAAAAAGTGTTCTAACAGCAAAGGTATACTCTGTCGGGGGCACATTGCACATGGTACTGAGGAGGATATTATTTCAGCTTCTACATGACAACTCAACAAACCATTGCTGTGAAACCTCACTAGAGAAGAGTTCTCAGTTGAAAGGACACAAGTTACCCATGGAGCTTGAAGAAACACAATTTCCTAGGCACTGCCACCCTAGAGGCTGATTCAGTAGGACTAGGAGCGGAGGCCCAGTATCTGCACTTTAATATGCATCTCAGGTGACTCCACTGGAGGAGGTATTCGGGTGACACTTTGAGGCTCCCAGCCCAGCTCGGTAGTGGGTTCTTTTGGCGTGTCTGGCACATCGTGGTGTTTTCCATTCTCAGTCAGTCGGTGTGTGTGAGTGCAACGTGACTGTGCGTAAAGAGGTGGAACAGAGCTCTGTCTGTGTCAAGATATCTAAGAGGATAACCGCAGATCTGGTGGGTAAAATCAGAGCGCAGGCATGCTGGGAATTTGATCAGCTGCCTTCAGTCATGAGAACCCACTGAATGCTCCTTGTGACAGCCTCATTACAGGAAAGGGCAATACAACAGGAAAAGTACTAGCCCAGGAGATGCAAGACCTGGGTCTAGCCCAAATTCTAGCACTCGCTTGCTGGGTATCTCAGGCCAGTTGCTATGAAAGCTACTTCTGCCACTTGCCTATTGTACAACCTTAGGCATTTTAACAGCCTAAAGTCTTGTGATGTCAGCTGTGAAATGAACATTATACATACCTCAGAGGATTGTCATGAGGATGGAATGAAAGCCTATATATGGGAGGCTTGGCACAAACTGGTGCTAAATGAGTGGTAGAGTAGCTGCTAAGGTGTTGGTGATGCTGATGAACCGCGGTAGGTTTTAGCTTCATGATCTAAAAGTGGATGGACTGGACTGCATAATTAGGTCAGTGTTTTATTCAGTACTGGCATCCCATTTTTCTTTCTTTCCTGTTTGGAGGTGGACAGGATAGACTTGGTGCCTCAGTGGCCTTGAGATGGAGGTGGTCCAGTAGGTGGTACTGGCAAAGGTCTCTCCAGGAGATGCCTCAGTTAGAGCTTGCTCTGCCTTCAGCTGCTCAATCTCTTATAAATCACCTAGCTCTGCAGAGCTTTTCTTTAGTAAGTCACAGATAAAAGACTTAGTATTCTCCTCTTTGTTGATGTTGTTTATACCATGAAGTGGAAAATCAGGCAGGTGTTAGCTAATTGACAACGTTATGCAGCGAAAGCAGAGCCCCAAGCCCTGGAAACATGGGCCACTGTACACAGCATCCAAAAGGCTGGCTTAGACTCCCAGACTGCATCCTGCTGCTGAGGATCTGCCCCTTCTCAATGATGCTACAGCTTTGCTCCGGGTTGAGCTCAGACACTTCTTCCCAGGGATAACCCCATGCTATTTCTTTTAGTAATCCATGCTCGACCATCCGGGAGGTACTTAAGAAATATCTACAGCTTGCCTGACTCCGAAAGTCATCTGGACTCTCCGACTTGGCAGTCAGGCTGGCTGGAGAGGTCAGGTTTCTAGTCTCAGCCTCCCCAAGCTCTATCCCTAGCTTCATTCTGAGATGCCTGTTCTAGGTCACTCAGGTCCAGTCCAGTCCTTGGTGACCTGCACTGGATTCTGGGAGCAAGTGGAGACCTGACAGATGCTTGCTTAGCTGAGCATAAATATGGGACACGTATCCTACTAGCTGGGCTGGACTTTGCCTCCCTATATGATAGTTACAGTCTCAGAAACCTCTAAACCCCACAAGACGTACTTCCAGTCACAGGCAGAATGTGCCAGCTTTAAGACCTCAGTGGCTGGTTTCCAAGCTCTGTCTTCATTACCTTCTCTCCCTCTCAACCAAAACCTGCTCTGTGGAAAGTTGCTGATCTCCTTATTCTCACTAGTGTCAATGACCTATAAGAGGTTAAAGTAACTTTTTGCCACAAACCCACATATTTGTAAATAGTTATTTTAAAGAAGACATTAAATGACTCATTCGTTTTGCATAAAGACTGGTATTATGAGGGAGAGATATGAATTTGTAAACATCCATACTTCATTTGTTCATTTTTTATTCATTTGTTTGGCCATCTATACATCTGTCCGTCTGTCCGTCCGTCCATCTGTCCGTCCATCCGTCCATCCATCCATCCATCCATCCATCCATCCATCCATCCATCCATCCATCCATCCATCCATCCATCCATCCATCCATCCATCCATCCATCCATCCATCCATCCATCCATCCATCCATCCATCCATCCATCCATCCATCCATCCATCCATCCATCCATCCGTCCATCCGTCCATCCATCCATCCATCCATCTATCTTTTCATCTTTAGGAAATAGTTCTTGAAATACCTATGTGCCAGACCTTTTCTAGACATTGAAGACACAAATTAAAAAACAAACAAGCCCCAAACTAAAAAACAACTCTGGGAGCTCTTTTTTTATTTCTAGAAGAGATAGGATTGCCACCACAAGGCTGCCTATGAGGGAGGGCAGGATGGGTTGCCATCATACTGGAAAGGATGATGCTGAGTCTAGAAACATGAATATATTAATCAGGGCACAAATGGAGAGGAGCAGTGAGGAGTGAAGGAGGTGCTGGGCGGAGGGCCCAAACACAGCTGAGAGAGACTCAAGTTCAGATCCTGGCTCTGTCTTGTGCTACCTCTGTACGATCATCAGCAAGGGACTTAACCTCTGTATATTTCCTCATCTGTAAAATGTGGGTAGTAAGTGGTACTTATCTTACAGGGTTGTTGTGAGAATTAAATAAGTTAATGTATGTAGAATGTTTAGCATGACACCCAGCTTATAGCAGATGTTAAGTCAATGCTAATTACCTTTTCCTTTTTGTTGACTGATAGTCAGGGAAAATGATTTAAACCAGCCCTGATGAACAGGTAATTCAGTCTCAGTAAATATATTATCCGTATAAGGGTCAGTTGCTACTGCACCTCTTGCACTAGGAACCTGGGTGCCTGAGCACATGCCAGTTAGCGCAGCTCCTGTTGGCACATAGAAGGTGCTGTCCCTGGATACAAGTGCTGGAGGACTGGTGGGTGCCTGGTGTGGCGTGGGATGGGAAACTACTTAGGGACTAGCGGGTGCTGCTCTGGGCTGGCAAAGCCCCAGTGAAGACGAGAACATTTCATCACAATATGGGACAGGCTTCTGTACCGAGATGGATTTGTCTATCTGTTGGGCCAGGGCTGCGGGGATTGGCATCTTGACAGTGATCCTCGGAATTTTACTGTTCATCGGCTGCTGGTATTGTAGAAGACGAAGCGGATACAGAAGATTGAAGGTTGGTAAAGTTCCCACTGCTGGGATCCTTCCAGATCCAGGACCTCGCTTCCTCTTATTTCTCTGAATTTCTGAGGACTGGGGCAACATTCTCGACATCACCTCTAGCTCTGATTCCTGGCTCTGATGAGTCTTCTCTACACTGTACTTCTTGCAACTCTTTCTTGGCCTCTGTTCAGGAACGAACTCCAACCAGGAACTTGGCCCCTCCTTGGTTGCACTCACAGCAAACTTGAGTGTATGTGTAACTGAGAACTGATAGTTTGTGGGGCTCAGGGGAAGAGTTCATGTTCATGGTCCTCTTGCACAGCAAACGGCAGCTTATGAGACACTCTAGGTCCTACCAGTCCTTTGGGGGCTTCTCACTGGCTCTGTTACTCCACTTAGTGGTTGCTCTTCTCACCTTGCCTCTTCCACCCTTTTCTCTCAGGTTGCCTGGGAATTCCAGGTTCTTCTAACTCTGTTATACCAAGCAGTCCAGCAAACCTAAGAGCCACATAGCCATTAGTGCAATGCAGAGACCATCCACTCCTCAGCAGCATAGAGGAGCACCAAGTTTTGAACAGTCTCTATCCTCCTTCGATGGTCAATGTGGTTTTAATGGGATTTTTTCTTCTTTACCTATACGAGCAGGAAGCTAACAAATGACACAGTCCAGTCTTGGGGCAGCAGGATCTTCCACAAATAGAAGACATCAGCTGAGTCTCTAAACTATAAAAACTACAGATTTCAGAAACTTTGCTTCAAAGCCAGGTAGCATTGTAGCACTTAAGCATCCAAAGACTCTCTTTTCTTTTCTTTTTTTCTTTTCTTTCTCTTCATTCCTTTCCTTTCTATTTTTTTCTTTCCTTTCCTTCTTTCCTTCTTCTCTCCCTCCCTTTTTTTCTCTCTCTTCCCCATCCCTCCTTTCCCACCCCTTTCCTATTATTACAGATCTGAAAGCTTCTGAGGTTGATGATAATGGGAAAAAAAATCACCTTTACAAAAGATGTTGGAAAGCCCTATTCCTCAGTAAGCAAGCACTTCATTCAGAGGAAAAGGTTCTGTGACAGAGGGGAGAGTTGGTTTGGCTGGGGAGCTGGAGCTTGGATCACTGAAGTGGAGAAAGGGAAGGTGAGAGCTGTGGCTTCAAATTCTTCTCCTCCTTGCCAGGAAGCTTGGGCAGTCTCATATGTCCCTTTTCCTAATGCCCATCTTGCCAGTGTCCCAAATACAAACTGTGAAAGACAGGGCAGATTTGGGGGCTGACACACCTACCAACCAGCAGTCCTCCAGTGTGTTGACATTTAGTGGGAAGGAGGAGAAGTTGCTAAGTTTGAATAAGAATCCAAACCAAGTACCATGGAAGGCCTTGGGGTATGAGGTTATGGATTGGACTCTTGCTCATATAACACCTCTCCGTGGCTATCCACAACAGGTTAGATCGAAAGGGACTTTGCGGTCTGCCACAGAACTCCGTCTGTACCACTAGCATGAGGTACATTGCCTTGTAATTGGTTATTTACTTTTTTTTTTTTTTTTGCCTCTTCCATCCCTTCTCTTTTCTCCATTTATGAACTGGAACAGACAATATTTCTTACTCCTCTATGTGCCTGGCACATAGCAGTCTACCCAATTGTATGGCATCAGGATTTGGTTTCATTGTCTACCATTGACTTGCTTGGTGACTTTATGTTTTAACCTCTCTGAGCCTTATTTGCTCTGTTCTATACCTAGACACATGTATATAAGTTTTTATTTAATATATTTTTTCTACATATTTTTTAAATTCATTCTATGTTTATATATAAAAAACACAACGACCTAGTTTTTCAAGGAGTAAAAGTTTTACGAACTCTTTATGTTGGTACCCATTTCCTAACTGTCCACAATTCCTAGTTTGATGCTACTGGACAAAAAGACAATGGTTTTTTTCCCCTTTCTGCTTCAACACTCTCATCTTAAACTCATTCAATTTAAGAATAATGGAGAGTCTTAACATTGTGGGCTCAGACACGGTTACTTGTTAAGTTTCAAGTTCAACCTATCATGCTTCCATTCCTCTAGGCTGAGATCAGTTATTCGCAGTTTCTGGAATTTTTATGAGATAGAACTGGTTCCCCTACTGTCTAAAAATGCCGTCACTTATTTTTTAAATTAATATTAAAATCTTGTTTTGACACTTTCATATTTCCTGAAATGCCAGGTGGAGATCAGCAGTCTAAGAAATGTACCCAAAATTATGTAAAATAGTGTATTAAGTACTACATTTAATTATATAATTACCTGTCTCTTTTCACTGATTCTCTTTTCATTTTTTTCTATTTTCACTTTAAAACAGAACATAAATGACAATAAATGCAAACTCAGGTATCTAAGTTACTCCACCTTTAACAACTTTCATTAGGCTTTAAAATGTTTACTTTCCCACTTTTACTGACCATAGAATGATAGCACGGTTGGTTGAAATTAAGATCTCCTAAAATTTCTCCCCTGGCTAACATGTCCTCTTAGATCTGGAAAACTTTTGAAAGGAGAGACGGCTTTTTGGAGCAATATGTTTCTGCAGGAAAATCACTTGTAATCACTGTAAGTTGGTTTTTGTATTTACCAACTTTACCCTTTCACTTGGAAGTTTAGGACATAATACTTTTGATTCCTAGGGAAAATTTTCGAGGCCCCCCTGAACGTTCAGTTTATACTCATGTCTCATGGTGTTCTGTTTCTCAGTGCATGGTCAGGGGCCTCTGCACTCAAATCATCTGGGGTTCTGCTAAAATGCAAATTCTGGGACCAGCTCTGGTGGCGAGACCCAGACACCCGTATTTTAACACCCACATTGAACTTTGAATGCAAATGAAGAGAACTGGCAGTGAAATGAGGGAATGGATCATGTTCCCTTCCTATGGCAGGTGAGAGATTAAAAAAATAATAATAATAAAAGTGATAATTTAGTAAAGGAAGAGAACACATTAAACACCTTTTCTAAGGCATATCACTGGGAGTTGGGTAGGGAAGCAGAACTGCCTTGTGTCCTCAGGTCAAGATAGGGTCATTGTGCATATCCTTCCAGGAGGTAGGGTCAATAATAATTTCTGGCCCGAGTTTAGGAAAACTACTTCTTTATAGTCTGCAGACTGTATAGGTATCAGCCCAATCTATGTCTGGACTCATCCAATTGATGTTCCAAACACTTCTCCTCCCTGAGAAATCTGCCTTCATGCCCTTCTCATCCAACCTAGTAGATAGACCTCAACGATCAGTCACAGTCTGCAGATGAGCCTAAAGAGCTGCTGATGACCTGCACAGCCTCCCTGTTCTAGCCTCCCTCAGCTAGTGCCACAGAGAGTAACCTGCTAATGCTCTACTGGCTGGATTTGACTTACAGATATGTTTGGGCTTGCATTTTTAAAAACTGAGTTAAGTGCCAATATTTAAAGTAATATATGAAAATCTCGATTTCTAGTTTCTTTTTTAAAATCAAAGGATCTGAGAAAAACTGGCAGCTATGCAGTGGTTATCCCTTTAAATGGGATATATAGTCCCTCCTTTTCTATGGCCTCCACCTGACCGTACTTGATCTCCTTGCATCACCTGCCTGGACCCTGTAAGTATCTGAGTAAAGCTAAGTTGCCCCAGGTGTGGGCATAAGAAGGTGCATTTTCTGTAGAGCAGTGGTTCTCTGTGTGACCCTGGACCAGCAGTATCACCTGGATACTTCTTAGAAATGCAAATTTGTAGGTCTTATCCCAGACCTACTGTGTCAGAAATTCTGGGCATGGGCCCAGCAGTGTTTAAACAGGCCTTCCAGGTGACGCTGAATCATGCTAAAGTTTGAGAATCATTGTTGTAGAGAATTTAACAGTAATAAAAGGGACTAAAAATTAGTCTGCTTTTTATAATCATCATATGCTAGCAATTTTAAAGAATGTCACTGATGAAATACTCCACCTCACCAGGGTGAACTGCTCCTGCAGTCTATACTTTGGTTTGTGTCTCTGTCTTGTACAAACTGTTGTCATTCTAGTCTAGGGCTGGAGAGCATCGCCCTCTAAACCTATCCAAAGCACTAAACTTTTACTTCCACCCCCAATAACTCAGGGCTATTTTGTATAACTTGGCCTTAGACTGATTTGTCATCATTGTTGCAACTTGACTTGGAAGCTGAGGACTACAACCATAGCACATCTATTACAGCATATGCATTTGTAGTGT